AGGGACGAGAAGCGTTCGTACACGGTATGGGCGAATACCTCTGCATATCCGCACAGCGGGGAGTAACTCACCCTCGACTACTCTAGACCACCTGGCGTATACCAGTCAAGTTATGTACACTGCCTCACGTTCGCTCCTCCCCATATGCGTGCCACTGTTCACGCTTGATGTCAGCGGTACCGTAGGCTCGAATCCAGCTTTTATATGGGAGCAAGCGTCGATATACACCGTCTTGTGTGTCCGCGCAGGAGGGGAACACGATGACCGTCTGGCTGAGCTCTTGCTGTCCCCTTGTCTTCCACTGTGCTCCGAGACGATTCCGAGTCTCCGCCTCCAATCATATCTGCGACCTTTGAATGCGCCACCATGGAACCACATATGCCGGGTCTAGAACCGAGCATATTTCCCTCTTTCTGGACGGCCCCCGGGATGGCTAATAATACCCGTTCCGCGCTTAAAGCGGGTAGTGCGACGAGCAAACCTGGTGCCGATAGACATCTCTTTCTACGGCGGAATTGCCTGACACATCGGGCTCACCTGCGACTCTCCCTCGCATTGCATTGGTAGCTCTGCGTAAGGAAATCCACCCGTGGTGCGACCCGGCACGACTCCAATCAACACTCCCACCGTCTGCGCAGATTGAAGATTCCGGACGATCATGTTTCAATTGCGCCCGGTTACGGAGAATCGCTGACAGCTTCTATCATGGATGATAGACGTTATCCAGGATGGGTATATTATCAGACGCATAGCCGCCCTCAGCCACAGATCTCCCTCTTCCCTTGGCCAAGCGGCCACCCACCCATCCTGTACCCTGTACCGGCGTTCCCGACAAAATCGCAATGGAAATCCAAGAACAACTGTTTGTCCACTCCGCTGCATACAAAGCTGAACCTAACCATCCCTCAGGAACGCCAATTACTATTTGAACCTCGTCGCATTCAGTGTGTGCCTCTCGTTTTCTCTTTGATCGCGTTGATGATTTCCGCAGCCCTGCTCTTTTACGAGTACTTCCTGACCCTCGACTGGGAAGTTTCACGGTATTGGACCATCGAGTTCAAAGCGGCAAACCTGCTCTTCTACGCCAACCGGTATTCGGCTCTGCTCGGGAATATTCTTGTCGTTTTCCAGTATTTTTGGACCACGCCTAGCTCGCCTGCTAAAAGTCTCGTAAGCAAACAGCCCCATGTCGCCAAGCTGCGGGATCTTACCCCCGTTAGATGTCAGTTGTTTCATCTCACTGCGTGCGTATGGAGAAGCCCTGACTGCGATTTAGATGTTCCTCTGTGGAGACATACCACCAATATTTTATCCTCGTGAATCAATTCCTCGTCGGCGGTGAGTCTCGTCGCGTTTGTCAAGGATCACGCTAAAAGAATTAGCGATGCTCATATTGCGTACATACGCATTGTATGGGCGCAATAATCGTATCCTTGCGTTCCTGTTGGTCGTCGCTGCTGGAACCATCGCGGTCGCGGTCGTGAGTCCGACCCGATACTCCCTCTCGCGATAATCATATCAACCATCCTTCATAGTGGGCGGTCATTTCGGGCAAGCCTGAGGACGATGGCATGGACCTTCCTCTTTATTTCGGCTGCACCTACGCGATTTCGCATGAAAAGTACGTCGTGCGGTGCATATTAGGTCCGCGGCTGACCTTGCTTGCCAGGGGCGTTAGCCTCGCCGGGGCTTGGGCCGGCTTGGCGACCTTTGACTCGGTGATTTTCGTCCTCACGCTTTACCGCGCATTGAGCCGGCACAATTCGAATGGCTTGACTCTTTTGGGTGTGCTGATTAGAGATGGTGAGTCCGTCTCGAATATTCATAGACGCATGCTGAATACCGTGGTTAGGTTCCATATATTTTGGGCAAGATCCTTCTGACGATAGTTTTCCGCCCTAATTGATTTCTTGTCCAGCGTGATCGTCGCAGCCAGCCTATCGAACATTCTGACCTTCCTGGTACGCGTATTCGTGAAATACATCAAAGCTACCTTGCTGACGCTGTGCGTAGTTCGGTGAAGTAGGTCTCTACCTCTGCCGACGTTCCTACATGCCTAATCCTGCTAGCCATATACCCGAGGGCTGGTGACCACCTTCGCCAATATGTGCGTCTATTACTCCGATGATAGGTGTCCGCCACCCCGTCCCTGACACCTACGCAGCATTGCAGCGATCATGATCTCCCGCCTGATGCTGAACCTGCGCGACCCGGCGCTTTCTGGGATACCCGACGGCACGCATAGCACGGCGTGGACGGGGACGGGCATCACGGGCATGTTCTCGTCGCGCGTGGACTTCAGCGGCCCCGGCGGGCTGCTGGAGACGAGGGGGCGGGTGGTATCGAGTGGGGGCTCGGGTGGGTATCCGGCGGCAGATCCGCGGCCACACACGCTTATTTTGATTCAGGGACGGACGTCCAAGGAGCGGAGCAAACGCCGGGAGCACAGGTATGACAGATGCCGGAGGCTCCCGGTGGGTATCCCGACCTCTTATTCGGAGCGGGCTCGTTGAGGCACTGGAGGGTATCTCAGATGGGTCAGGTCATTGACAGAAGAAGTGCAAGTTGGGAGCAGCTTATCAGGCAGGAGACAGACGATTCCGGCATGATGCATGGCAGATGGATGTAAAACGTAAAAGTGTACAAATGTTTCGAACCCATCTCAAATTCCACCTCACCGTTGCTGTTATCCGTGTGTTTTACAGGTCGCGTGGTGCGTTGAATTGTCAGCGGCACAGAACAAGAGAAACGGAAGTTGGGACTGCATCAGCATCCTGACAGATATGTCAGGCGATTAAATCTGGACTAAGTACTGTGTTCAGCCGGAGTTCACTGCCCTGCACCGGTTTGCGGCTGTTGAATTATCCTCGGGAAGACGACGAATGAATGGACGCATTGCTGTGATTTTAGTTTTCGTTGTGGGTTTGAAGCATTCTTGCCAAAGCACCACATTCTGCCTGGGAAATAATCGACACTGATTTATCGCGATCGCCTTGGCGTCGTGCACCCATGACTTCAGGGGTGGTAAACTCATCGACAGACGAAGTGCGAGTTGGGAGCAGCCTATAAGGCTGGCAGGATATATCTCGAATTCCGGCATGGCAGATCCGTATCACTCAGATATCGAAACGTGGTGAACACGCAATGATTTGTTCACATGGGCTGGAGAACAGGCCTCGCGCACCATGCTGACCCGAGTCTGTCGTGCGATTAAGTGTATAGTGCACACCATGTTCAACCAACACTTTTGCAATATTCCCTCGATTTGCCGTCGGCTAAACTCCCGCTGTGTTTAGCCGAAATTTACTACCCCGTGGCGCCCGCTCTGTTTGCGCATGCATGCGCCCACATCAGACGCGTGTGGGTCACGTGGCAGCCTGTTGAATTCAAAAAAATGCAAATTCATCTCTCATTCCGGCCTGCCGCCTCGAAGGGTTGCTCAAAATGAGTTGAGGTTGCCATAAGGGAAATGTGTATTGCTGACTATCAAGGTATAGTTCTTAGGGCACTGGGACGGCATCGATGGCAGAGGAATCACCAAGTTTAGTCTCTCGCAGCCAGCCTTCAACACGGTATGATTTCGTACCTCGATCGTGATGAAGTCTGTTATTAAGTGATGGGTCCCGATTAGGGTAGAACCTTATTACATTCATAAGGCCCTCCGGGCACCCCCGTAACCTCCACAGTGCCTCCACATTCACTGTCTCACCTACAAAAACCACTGCGACTGCAAATTCTGACGGACTGCAGCATAAATAGGATGCATGGGTGTGCGCTTCGCTGCGGGAATACATGCTGCTCAGCCTGCTTTTAAAATTTTGGATTTTGTTACATACATAGACCAGTCGATGAGGAGGCCGGAAAAGGATCGGGAGTTGCCGCGGCGAAATGGGAAACCGAAAGCTGTTTTAGGACGCCAGAAAAGGAAGGAATCTAGGCTCGTCTCGGGAGTTGCCGAGGCAAGCTTTTAGGAGGCCGGAAAAGGAAGGAGTCTAGACTCATCTCGGGAGTTGCCGCGGCAAGATGAGAAAAGTTTAGCAGGCCAGCAAAGAAAGGAGTCTAGACTCAGGGTCTCGGAACTTACCGATACACGGAAAAGGAAAGCCGGTAGAAGCCGCCATGATCGGAGATTGGATTAGGTACCTGTTTCCCTAAATCGGTTAGAGGAATAATCTTCGCTTAGCTGCCCTGGTGTCGTTTTTGCTGTGCGGCACCTCTTTCTCTGGTTTCTTGGGGTGGAACTCAACTTTAGAGCATATTGGAGATGATCTGCGTATGGTGCTTGAATGAGTGCAGGAGCTCATCCTTCAATGTGATGGGACATCAATGTGCCAAAAACCCATCAATTTGACTCGTCCATAGCTTCGTCCCATGGGATTGAAAAAATATGGAAATATTTGGGCACACAGAAAAAATCTATGAATTTCCGAAGTAGATATATCCAAGGTTCCAGAGCTGGGGCAAGGGTGATTATGTAATAAGGTTCTACCCTAATTGGGCACCTGACCTTAAAAACGGACTACACCAAGTTATGTTCTCTTGAAGGGCTTGCGGGCGGTGGAATCGAAAAGCCACTAGGTCGACATAGTAGTACATTGGTAAAAAACTAAATTCGCTAAGAACGAACCAGTAAGATCACCGTCTGCGGTCCTTTTCGACTTCCACTTCGACGTCTTCAACCTCAATTTCCAACGTTGATGAACCCTATATTTTCTGGTCTCGTGCCAATGCACGGTTTTAGGGCATCTGAAAAAATGAAAGTGGGGTGTCAGGTTAATAGGATCCCTCTAGGTTGAATCTCTTGGCTAGGAAAAAAGGAAAACGATAGCCTGACCCCGAATCGAACAGGGATCTTCTGCAGAACTAAACATTGAATTCACCCATTAATTAGAGCAGAGGCACTAGCCAATGTGCTATCAGGCCATTCCCTCCAAACATCAATTCCAGGCTGAATCCGTTCGTAAAACCTCCGACGTGGAAATAAAATGAGAAAAAGATCCCGGCCTGACCCTGAATTGAACGGGGATCTTCTGCAGAATTCTGAGAAAATACGATAGTTCAAACAGAGGCACTAGCCGTTATGCTATCAGGCCATTCCCTTCAAGTATCACTCCAGGTTCAATCGCTACGCAAAGCCTCAAACAGGAAATAAATGAAATGAGAAAAAGATGATGAGCCTGACCCCGAGTCGAACGGAGATCTTCTGCAGGAGGTTATGTATACGCGACCCCTTACGGGAGCAGAGGCACGAGCCTTTGTGCTACCAGGCCGTTCATTTCTTGTATCACTTTGAGGTTGAATGGCTGCGCAAAGCCGCCAACGGGGAATAAAACAAAATGACAAAAATATGATGGCCTGACTCCGAGTCGAACGGGGATCTTCTGCAGAAAATTTAATGACGGCCCGCTGTAGTGGGAGCAGAAGAACTATCCATTGTGCTATCAGACCGTTCCCTCCAAGCTTTACTTCCAAGCTAAAGCCTCCAACGAACATACAAATAAAATAGAGAAAGAAAAAAAAACGATGAGCTGACCCCGAATCGAACGGGGCTCATCTGTAGAAGTACCTTATCTAAAATACCTACTCAGTTGAAGCAGACGCACTAGCCGTTGTGCTCCCAGGCCGTTCATGTCTTATATCACTTCTATGTTCAATGGCTACGCAAAGCCTCCAACGCAAAATAAACGAAATGAGAAAAAGATGATGACCTGACCCCGAGTTGAACAGAAATCTTCTGCAGATTATTCCGTATATGGCCGCCAGTGGAAGCAGAGGCACTGGCCCTTGTGCTATCAGGCTGTTCCTTTTGTCCTATCACTTCCAGGTTGAGTCCCTTCGCAAAGCCTCCAACGGGGAAATGAAGTAGAAAAAAAGGAAAAGGATAGCCTAACTCTGAATCGAACGGGGATCTTCTGCAAATATTTCTACAGCTTTTCAGCCAGGTGAAGCAACTAGCCTTTGTGCTATCAAGCCTCCTCCTCAGCCTCAGTTAGGATGCTAAAGAGCTGTAGATTCTTTAAATTTCTGTCATGGGACTCGTGGAGTGAGAACTTACAACACAGCACACGGTCAATATGGGGATAAATGTTCGCGTTAACAGCGATCAGCAGGTCCGAGCTGTATGCACTGCATCGCTTGACGGTGGGAACCACGAAAACAATAAGAAATGAACTAAAAGAAAAACAACTCAAGAAGTAAGTAGTTTAAATTGTGCTAGTCAAGAAAATTCCGGAACCTAGGAAAATAAAGGAGGGAGAATCCTCGGACGAAGCAATGGTCGAATAGGAAAAAGATGAAAGTCTGACTCCGAATCGAACAGGGGTCTTCTGCAGAAGGTTATGTATGTATGGCCACCAATGATAGTAGCAGAGGCACTAACCATTGTGCTATTAAACCACAGATCACTTCCAGGTTGAGTCCCTTCGCAAAGCATCCGATGTGGAAATGAAATAGGAAAAATAGGATGGCCTGACCCCGAGTCGAACGGGGATCTTCTGCATACATATTAGACGGGCAATTGCAACTTATAGCAGAGACACTAGCTGTTGTGCTATCAGGCCGTTCCCCACAGGGAACACTTCCAGTTTGAGTCCCTTCGCAAAGCTGCCAACGGGAAATGAAAAAAGGAAAAGGATAGCTTGACCCCGAATCAAACAGGATCTTCTGCAGAACATTGTGTATATGGCCGCCAGTGGGAGTAGAAGCACTAGCTGTTGTGCCATCAAGCTGTTTCTCTGTCATATCACTTCCAGGTTGAATGGCTACGCAAAGCCTGAAACGGGGAAATAAAAGAAAGTAGAGGATGGCCTGACCCCTGGCTGAGCTCTTGCTGTCCCCTCGTCTTCCACTGTGCTCCGAGACGATTCCGAGTCTCCGCCTCCGATCATATCTGTGACCTTTGAATGCACCGCCGCCGGAACCACATATGCCGGGTCTAGAACCCATATTTCCCTCTTTCTGGACGGCCCCCGGGACGGCTAATAATACCCGTTCCGCGCTTAAAGCGGGTATTGCGACGAGCAAACCTGGTGCCGATAGACATCTCTTTCTGCGGCGGTGGAGTTGCCTGACATATCGGGCTCACCTGCGACTATTCCTCGCATTGCATTGGTAACTCTGCGTACTAAGGAAATCCACCCGTGGCGCGACCCGGCGTGACTTCAACACTCCCCATCAGACTTTTGACATTTTGATTATCGTGTTTCAGGTGTTTTTTGGGGGTACAGTCGAAGCTGTCTTACAGCTGTTTTGTGAATAATATACGGGTTTCGTAAATCATTGATGCTCGATTTTAGTTTATGTCTGTTTGCTGTTGCGTCCTCGGCTCCACACTCCGAGCCACTGCCGAATGGTGTTGGTCTTTTGTGAAACCTCGCTGGACTTCGCAGGACCACAACTATGCACATTCTGACAAGATTGAAGACGACGAGTCGGCCATCCATGCTGAATGGCCTGTGAGTTGCACTGTAATGCGAGCAGGAACACAGTGTACGGCAGCCTACGGCAGTGTGGAGCCGCTCTAGCCAATGACACTTTCATAAACAGAGATAAGCACAAATCGAGCATCAACGATTTACGAAACCCGTATATTATTCACAAAACGGCTGTAACCCATGGGGGTCGGTGGATGTCCCAGGCTATGGGTTACCGCAGATTTATGGGGTATCCCTGCTAGAAAAGCGCCAAAAACCAGCCAAAAACCTATGGGGTATTGAAGATTATGGGTTACGACAGCTATGGGTTGAGACAGCTTCGACTGTAAACGGTTTCCGATGACATTATTTAGAAACCGGGTTTCCGGGAACCTCTCGGTGATCTCGGCTACAGTGCCGGAGATGCCAAGAGCATGCCGAGCCATCACCTTTGTCCACTGGCAAGTTCATTTCTGCAAAGTCGGTATATGTCCCAGAAGATGCTGATAGGCTATTGTAAAATATTATCAACTTTCTGGGCACAATTCAGGTTCCAGCTCATTCTATGAATCGAAAGCTTATTGAACTGCTTTGGAACTGCTACTCGATAACCTTGTCCTATACTGAGCGCAACATTTTATATAGTCTGAAAGAAATCGAAATCAATTCCGACATTTGCGGCACTAGCAAGCGTCCACACGTGGCCTGAACTGAGCGTCCGAAAACGCCCGAGTCCGCGCCATTTTTGGCTGGATCAGAACCATAGTGGACTGGAATCAAGAGAGAGAGACAAAGACCGGCCGGGGTGCAGGGTGGGACGAACAAAATTCCGTTGACTGCCTTTGGCCACGGCTCAAAGTTGAACTTCAAATGTTCAACATTTAACGCTGCTAAACACAGTTGAAACTCAGCTGATGGCTTGATTGCCGAGGAAGGCTTCTCGTTAGACTTGGCCAGGGTTTCTGCGAAATTTCCTAAAGCGGGAGGGTTTTCGCATGAAACCGGGTTTCTCATTATAATTATCCGTTTTTCGGTGTTTCTGCGTTGCTGAAAACACGACAACACCTCACTGTGTTGAGGCCCCCCATAGTCACAGGTTTGCCTACGTTCTGCTACCTGTGACTACATGAGACTACATGTGTCGATCCCTGTAGACGCACCTTGGGTACGATGGATCGATGAACCCTGCGACTATGTTCTGCTACATTAGACTACATGACGTGGCCACAGTCTGCGTTCGCCTACGTTCGGCTACTTTCGGCTACGTCCGGTAGACACATGGCACCCAAAGGCGTGGGTGGATTTTGGATTCGCGGTGGATTACGGCCAAATTGGGGCTAGTATATGTATGTCTACATATGTATACCTTGAGACTACATGTGGCTACCCAAGGTAGACACAGGTTGCAAGCATAGCCATAGGTAGACACATGTAGGCCAGGTGGGTCTACACAATGTAGTCACATGTACCCATTGGGTAGACAAACATCTGTGGCAACCCCTCTGTCTACACTAGTAGACACACCCTGTGACTATAGGAGGCCTCAACATAGTGACCTGGACTGAAAATTGCCCGCCAAAAAAAACCCTCGGGGAATGCACAAAAAAGCTGAGTGCACTGAGAAAAAACAATCTGAGCGAGGTGTTGTGAGAATTTTCGCGGATGTTGTCGGTCTTGCGAGTTGGAATATTTCACGTGTTTTTTTGGTGTTGTTTGGTGTTGTTTAGTGCTGTACAACACCACAATGAGAATGTCAAAAGTCTGATGCCACCGTCTGCGCAGATTGAAGATTCCGGACGATCATGTTTCAATTGCGCCCGGTTACGGAGGAGCGCTGACAGCTTCTATTATGGATTATAGATACGCATAACCGCCCTCAGCCACAGCTCTCCCTCTCCCCTTGGCCAACGGCGGCCACCCACCCACCCTATACCTTGTACCGGCGTTCCCCGACAAAACCGCAATGGAAATCCAAGAACAACTGTTTGTCCACTCCGCTGCATACAAAGCTGAACCTAACCATCCCTCAGGAACGCCAATTACTATTTGAACCTCGTCACATTCAGTGTGTGCCTCTCGTTTTCTCTTTGACCGCGTTGATGATTTCCGCAGCCCTGCTCTTTTATGAGTACTTCCTGACCCTCGACTGGGAAGTTTCACGGTATTGGACCGTCAAGTTCCAAGCGGCAAACCTGCTCTTCTACGCCAACCGTTATTTGGCTCTGCTCGGGAATATCCTTGTCGTTTTCCAGAATTTTTGGACCACGCCTAGCTCGACTGCTAAAAGTCTCGTAAGCAAACAGCCCCCTGTTACCAAGCTGAGGGATCTTACCCCCGTTAGACGTCAGTTGTTCCATCTCACTGCGTGCGTATGGAGAAGCCCTGACTGCGATTTAGATGCTCCTCTGTGGAGACATACCACCAATATTTTATCCTCGCGAATCAATTCCTTGTTGGCGGTGAGTCTGGTCGCGTTTGTCGAGAATCGCGCTAAAACAAATAGCGATGCTCATATTGCGCACATACGCATTATATGGGCGCAATAATCGCATCCTTGCGTTCCTGTTGGTCGTCGGTGCTGGAACCGTCGCGGTCGGGGTCGTGAGTCCAAACCGATACTCTCGCGAGAATCCTATCAACTATCCCTCACAGTGGGCGGTCATTTCGGGCAAGCCCGAGGACGATGGAATGGACCTTCCTCTGTATTTCGGCTGCACCTACGCGATTTCGCGTGAAAAGTACGTCGTGCGGTGCATATTAGGTCCGCGGCTGACCTTGCTTGCCAGGGGCGTTAGCCTCGCCGGGGCTTGGGCCGGCTTGGCGACCTTTGACTCGGTGATTTTCGTCCTCACGCTTTACCGCGCATTGAGCCGGCACAATTCGAATGGCTTGACTCTTTTGGGTGTGCTGATTAGAGACGGTGAGTCCGTCTCGAATATTCATAAACGCATGCTAAATACCGTGGTTAGGTTCCATATATTTTGGGCAAGATCCTTCTGACGGTAGTTTTTCCGCCCTAATCGATTGCTTGTCCAGTGTGATCCTTGCGACCAGCTTATCGAATATCCTGACCTTCCTAGTACGCGTATTGGTGAAATACATCAAAGTTGCCTTGCTGACGCTGTGTGCAGTTCGGTGAAGTAGGTCTCTACCTCTGCCGACGGTCCTACATGCCTAATCCTGCTAGCCATACACCCGCGGGTTGGTGACCACCTTCGCCAACATGTGCGTCTCGTCTATTACTCCGATGATAGGTGTCCGCCACCCCGTCCCTGACAGCTACGCAGCCTCGCAGCGATCATGATCTCCCGCCTGATGCTGAACCTGCGCGATCCGGCGCTTTCTGGGATACCCGACCGCACGCAGAGCATGGCATGGACGGGGACGGACATCACGGGCATGTTCTCCTCGCACGTGGACTTCAGCGGCCCCGGCGGGCTGCTGGAGACGCGGGGGCGGGTGGTGTCGAGTGGGGGCTCGGGTGGGTATCCGGCAGCAGATCCGCAGGCACGCATGCTTATTTTGATTCAGGGAGCGACGTCCAAGGAGCGGAGCAGAGGCCGGGAGCACAGGTATGACAGATGCCGGAGGCTACCTGTGGGTACCCCGACCTATTATTCGGGGCGGGGCTCGTCGAGGCATTGGAGGGTATCTCAGTTGGCCAGGTCATTGACAGAAGAAGTGCAAGTTGGGAGCAGCTTATCAGGCAGCGATTCCGGCATGATGCATGGCAGACGGATGTAAAATGTAAAGTGTACAAGTATTTCGAACCTATCTCATCATTCCACCTCACTGTTGCTGTTACCCGTGTGTTTTACAGGCCGCGTGGTGCGTTGAATTGTCAGTGGCCCAGAACAAGAAAAACACTGCATCAGCATCCTGACAGATATGTCAGGCGATTAAATTTCGGCTAATTACTGTGTTCAACCGGAAATCACTGCTCTGCACCGGTTTGTAGCTGGGTGAATCTTTTCAAATTCCTGGTTGTGTTTAGCTGAAATACCCCGTGGCGCCCGCTCTGTTTGTGCATGCATGCACTTACTTCAGACGCGTATGGGTCACGTGGCAGCCTGTTGAATTAAAAAATCAAACTACTCATCTCTTATTCCGAGCTCCGCAGAGAGTTGCTCAAGTTTTGATCCGCGGCAGAAATCAGTGAATGAATTGTTGACGATCAAGGAGAAATTTCTAGGGCGCTGGGACGGCATCAATAGTCGAGAAATCACTCGCAAGTTATGTTCTCTTGAAGGACTCGCGAGCGGTGGAATCGAAAAGCTACTAGGTCGATATAGTAGTACACTTGCCAATGAATTGGCTGGGAATTAATCAGCTTAAGATCACCTTCCGCGGTCATTTTCAACTTCAACTTCAACTCCAATTTCCAACGTTGATGAACCCTACATTTTCTGGTCTCGTGCCAATGCACGGTTTAGGGCATCTGAAACAGCGAAAGTGGTGTGCCAGGTTTAATAGCATCCCTCTTAAGTCGAATCCACTCGCTAAGCTCCGACGTCGGAAGGAAATGAGAAAAAGATGAAGGCCTGACCCTGAATTGAACGGGGATCTTCTGCAGAAAGACCGAGGCATGGATTCACGAATTGGAGCAGAGGCACTAGCTGTTGTACTATCAGGCCTTATACCTACCAACATAAGTTCCGAGGTCAATCCCTTCGCAACGCCGCCAACGGGGAAACAAAAAAGAAAGAGAAAAAAAGGATAGTCTGACCCCGAATCGAACGGGATCTTCTGCAGAGCTAATTCTGAGGCTCGCGCTCGAATTAGAGCAGAGGCACTAACATCGTGTCAAGCCGTTCCTCCAAGCCTCAACTCCCAGCTAGGATGCCAAAAAGCTGTAGATTCTTTCAGTCATAAATGATGAAACTCGTCGAGTGAGAACTTACAGCACAGCACATGGTCGATATGGGGTAAATGTTCGTGCTGCGTTAACAGTGATCAGCAGGTCCAAGCGGTATGCACCGCATCACTTTCTATCGCTTGATGGTGGGAATCGCGAAAATAATAAGAAATCAACCAAAAGACAACTCAGGAAGTAACTCAAATTGTGCTAGTGGAGGCAATTCCGGCAGCCCCGAAAGAGACGGAGCTGAGGATTCTGGACGAAGCAACGGGCGAATAGGGAAAATGATGAAGGCCTGACCCGAATCGAACGGGGATCTTCTGCAGAAGATTGTGTATATGGCCGCCACTGGGAACAGAAGCACTAGCCGTTGTGATATCAGGCCGTTACCTCCAAAGATCAGTTCTGAGCTAAATCCTCTAACGAAGAAATGAAATGAAAAGAGATGATGGCCTGGCCCCGAATCGAATGGGGATCTTCTGCAGAATTCTGAGAAAATACGATAATTCGAGCAGAGGCACTAACCATTGTGCCATCAGGCCGTTCTATTTTTTTTTTTCACTTCCAGGTTGAATCCGTTCGCCAAGTTTCCGACCTGGAAATGAAATAGGAAAAATATGATGGCCCGACCCCGAATCGAACGGGGGAATCTTCTGCAAGAAGCTTTGGCTTTTATGAGTTGAAGCAAAGACACTAGCCGTCGTGCTATCAGACTGTTCTCTGCACAGACCAGTTCCAGGGCAAGTCCTACGCAAAGACGGCACCGGGGAAATAAAATCGAACAGGGAAATAAAATCGGAGAAAAGGAAAGATGAAGGCCTGACCCCGAATCGAACGGGGATCTTCTGCAGAAGATTGTGTATATGGCCGCCAATGGGAGCAGAGGCACTAGCCGTTGTGCTACCAGACCGTTCCAAGTATTACTTCCCGGTAAATGCCTTCGCCGAGCCGGCAACGGGGAAATAAATGAAATGAGAAAAAGGTGATGGCCTGACCCCGACTCGAACAGGGATCTTCTGCAGGATCGTGGAAAGTAACGTAGTTGGACCAGGCATCAACCGTTGTGTTATTAAATCACACATATATATCTTCAAAGATCAGTTTCAGGTTGAATTCATTCGCAAAGCCTCCAACCGGAGATGAAATCGGAAAAAGGAAAGGGCCTGACCCCGAATCGAACGGGGATCTGCTACAGAAGATTATTGTCTGTAGACCGCCAGCGTGAGCAGAGGCACTAACCGTTGTGCTACCAGGCCAACCCCTACAAGGATCAATTCCGAGATAAACCAGATCCAGTTTGAGTCCCTTCGCAAAGCTGCCAACGTGAAAATGAAAAATGAAAAATGAGAAAAAGAGGACGGCCCGACCCCGAGTTGAACGGGGATCTTCTGCAGAAATTCGTCTGTATTAAGAGTTAGAGCAGAGGCACTAGCCGTTGTGCTATCAAGCCGTTCCTTCGAAGTGTCAATCCCAGCTAGGATGCTAAAAAGCTGTAGATTCATTAGATTTCCGTCATGAGACTCGTGGAGTGAGAACTCAACACAGCAGATGGTCAATATGGGGGTAAATGTTCGCGTTAACAACGATCAGCAGGTCCAAGCTGTATGCACTGCATCGCTTGACGGTGGTAATCAAACGTGCTAAAAACAAGAAGAAAACAATATTTTAAAAAACTCAGGAAGTAACTCAAATTGCACTAGTTGAGGACGACCGACGGTCGAGCGAATCGATCTGCAAGCGGGCATGATGATGATTTGCATCTTGACAGCCGCAACATAGCATCCAAATCGGGACGTGTTGACGGCTGTTTAGAATTCGTCTTTGGTGCACGCCCTTGTCTCGCAGAATTCCCGCTGCTCGCGATGACCGAGGACGAATACTCGGACCTGACCGACCTCGACGAGCTCTCCGACGAGTTCGACGCGCAGCCCGCAAAGCGCAAGGGGAAAGGGAAAGCAACGGCAAGGGCAAAGGCAAGGCGAAGCCCGGCGAGGGATACCGCATCCGCCATGCGCTCAAGGCCCCGCGCGCGACGACGTACAGCACCGAGGCGCTTTACAGTGCGTCCTCCTCCCGCGTCCCTTTGTTCCTTGTTCCGAGCTCAACGGCTTCGATCCCGCAGAACAGATCCACAACGGCGATATCGATCTCGAGCCGGAGTACCAGCGCGGTGCGCTTCGCCATTCCTTTATCCGCGGCGGTCTGCTTATTCCTTTGGTTCTGCGCAGAGGTGGTGTGGCCCGAGGCGAAGCAGATCGGGATCATCGACTCGATATTCCGCAATTTTTACATCCCGCCCGTGATATTCGGTGCGCCTTCCCGTACGGGGTATTACGATTCGCGCCTAATTTTCTTTGCGTCATGTAGCGGTGAATGCGCTGGACGATGGGACGGAGACGCGGACGTGCATCGACGGGAAGCAGCGGCTCACGTCTATCCATCGGTGGGTGGGATTTTCTTCGTTTCTTTGCGGTTGGCGGGGTGCTTTGGCTTGGTCTGGGCCGCGGCTCGCTCTCTGCTCGAGGCCAATATTGGTGCCCGAGGCAGGAGCTAGGCGCGACCGACGTCTTGGCCAGGAAGCCATGCCTTTTTCTTTGTCGCGGGGTCGAGTCATGCCAGTCATTTGGGCTTGGTACCGAGACTCTTCCCGCACCGCGCCCTTCACCTACCCCAGTCCCACACCTTGATCTCGCCGTCGCCATGTACCGTCCGCCGCTACTGGGATCTCAGGCTACGCCCGCCCGCGGCCGAGGCGTGCGAGCAGCTGTCCTGCGGATTGCTTGACGACGGCCGGGTGACAGCGCAGCCCTTCTAGCGGCCCTTCACCTTCCCCAGCGCCCACCCCTCCTTCTCTTCTCCTTCTCCTTCTCTTCTCCTTCTCCTTCTCTTCCCTACCCTCTATTTCTCAATAATAATGACAATCATAACTGACTCGATCCTCTACAGCTTCGTGCAAGGCCTCATCCCCCGTACGTCCCCTTGCCATGCCTTCCCTATCCTTGCCGTCTGCTGACCCTTCCCGCAGACAAAGACCCGTGCGTCGCCCGCTCGTCCAGTCTGCCTGTGCTGATTGTCTCGTTCTCCCTCTTGCCTTCTCTTCTTATCCTCTTCTCCTCTTCCTCATTCCTTCCCTTCCCTTCCCTCTTCATCACAACTCTCTTCTCTTCTCTTCCCCTCCCTCTCCCTCTTCCTTCTCTCGCCCCCCTTCTCTTCCCCTCCCCTTTCCCTCCTCGTCCCCCGCCCTTCCCTCCCCTCCCCTTCCTCCCCTTCCCCCGCCTTTTCCTCTCCTTCTTTCCCCTCGCTCTACTCTTCGCTCTTCTCCTCGCCCCCAGCCTAACGAACGAAAAGCTCTGGTACCGCGACAACCCCGCGCACCGCACCAAGACCGCGAAGAAGATCCTGCCCGAGAAGTACCGGAAGCTGTTCGACGGCAAGGCGGTCGTGTGCGTCGAGTACCAGGATCTGGAGGACGCGGATGAAAGGGAAATCTTCCAGGTGGGTTTGGTTTTTGGTTTTGTTTTATTTTGAGGGGGGGGCGGGCTTGGGCTTCGTTTTCTTTGGAGGGGTGCGGGGCGGGCTGCGGAGGCGCAGGAGTGTGACGCCTGCCCCGCTCGTCTGCTGCTGCTGCGGCGGCGGCTGGTTCCCGTACGGGGGGTGCGGCGTCCTCGTCTGGACGGTACACGGTCGCGGGCTCGGATTGAGGGTGTACTATTGAAGGCGTGCTGACTGTGCGGGGGCGCATCGCTGCCCGCATCCCCTGCCGGATATCCGTCTTGCTCGGTTACGCGCGCGAGGTTTCTTCGGCGGTGTGGATGTGGACATGGGCCGGCGAGGGCTTCTTTGCTACCGCCCGCCTCGCACACGCCCGCCAGGCCGTCTGCTACTGCTGCCGTGGCTAGCATGCATACGGCACGTACGGGTACACTGGTCCTTTTTTGGACGCGTTCTCGGACTGTCCGCGGAGACGGGGGCAGCGGCGTTATTCTTATTCGCCGCGCGCAGGACGTGCATCGGACGGGCTCGCGGACGGCGGCGCAGGGGCTGGCGGGGGTTTCGGGGTCGTGCGCTTCTCTGTCCGCCGACGCCTAGTCATCGACCGAGTCGTCGTCGTAGTCGTCGGTCCCCCCCCCCCCCCGCGTTGCTGCCCACGTCCTCTTATCTTCCTTCTTTCTTTTCTTTTGGGAGGGCGGAGGGGTGGGCGTGCTAGGGTGCACTTCCTCCGCGTCAGACGGGGGCAAGCGGTGTGCGAGTGGGATGCTACAGCCTGCCGCGCTGCTGCTGCAGCTGGTACCCATTCGGGGGGTACGGCCTCCTCGTCTCCGTTCTCGGACTGGGATATGGCGTACTGCGCCGGATTAGGAGCGGAGGCGGGGTGCGGCTGTGTGGACGCGTATCACTGCAATCTTTCCCTGCAGGAGTCTGTCTCGCTCGGTTACGCGGGCGAGCTTTCTTCGGCGGTGTGGATATGGACATGGGGTGGTGAGGGTTAAGGAGCGCTCCGCGCTTCTTTGCTGCCGCGCACCTCGCAGGCGTGTAGTCGTCGTTGCTGCACTTGCGCTTCGTACTCGCCATTCGCGTCCTCTTATTCCCCTTCCTTCCTTCTCCTCTCCTCCTCTCGACCTCACTGACACCTTTCGCAGCGCGTCCAACTCGGCGTCGCCCTCACCCCGGCGGAGAAGCTCAAAGTCCTCACCACCCCCCGCGCGCGCTTCGTCCGCACCCTCCAAGACACCTTCCTCAACTCCGAATCCGCGGGGCTCGGCGGCGCCGCGCTCGCATGGGACCGCTCGCGCGGCTCCGACTTCCGCTGCCTCGCGCAGACGATCCAGTGCATCGCCCTCTCCCCCAAAACGACCTCGATCCAGGCGACGGAGAAGTGGCTCGCGGACCCCGCGCCGATGGTGCCCGCCTTCGCGAGCAGCATCGAGGGCACGTACCGCGTGTTCGAGCGCCTCGTGCAGCTGCACCCCGCGTCGTTCACGAAGATCGCGCCGGTCGAGTTCATCGCGGTCGGCATCCTCGTGCACCGGCACAAGCACAAGCTGACGCTCGCGGGGCTCGCGGGCGCGGTGACGGCGCTGCGCGCGGACGTGCGTAAGGTGCACGACGACATCCGGAACAACGGGAAGGTGTACAAGACGATCTGCGCGTTCATCGACGCGTACCGCGGGCCGGCGGTCGGGCGCGCGGAGACGTGCGCCGCGGACGCAGTGGGCGAGGGGGCCACGGGCGTGGCGAGCGGCAGCACCGCGGGGACGAAGCGCAAGGCGGCGGCGGCGTCGGACGACGAGAACGCGGACTCGGACGACGACTATGCGCCTGCGCGGCGGGTGCCGCTGCCGCCGAAGAAGCGCGCGAGCCCCGCGAAGCCCGCGGCGCCGCCCACGCCGCCGATGTCCGCGCCCCCGCCCGGGAGCCCGCCCACAGCTGCGCAGCCGAGCGGGATAGACGTCCTGCGCGAAGCGAAGGAGAGGATCGCAGCGATGAAACTCGCGCAGGCGCACGTGGCGCCCGCTCCCCAGGCGCAGGCGCAGGCGCAGTACTCCTTCAACCCCAACGCGTCGTTCGGGTACCAGCAGGCGGGGTACCAGCAGCAGAGCGGGTACGGGCTGCCGCAGACGCAACAGCAGCATGGGGCGGGGCGCGGCGGGCGTCGCGGCGGCGCTCGAGTCGCACTTGATGAATGCGGCGAACGGGTGGGGGCCACGCCGAATGGGACGCGCGTCAAGACGGAGCCAGGGGCGTCGCCGTTTAGGGGCGGGGGTGGGGCGCCGCCGTATTCGGCGGGGAGCAGTAACGGGGGCGGGGGCGGGCCGCCGCCGTTTAGCGCGGGGAGCAGTGGGAGCTATGGGAGCGGGCGGGGGCGGAGTGGGTATCATGATGAGCGGGACCACGACAGGGAGCGCGACAGGGAGAGAGATAGGGATCGGGACAGGGACTATAGGGAGAGGGGCGATTATGATAGTGCGCGGTATCGGGAGCGGGATGGTGGGCGGGGCGGACGCGGGTGGCGGTAGTTCTTCGTGGCTGGGGATGTGTGGGGCTGCAGACGCGACGGCGACGACGACTGGCGTGATTCATCGAAACGAAAACTGTCTCTATCATACCCTCCTTCCTTTCGTTCTACTTTCTTTCTTTCTTTCCTTCCTTCCATCTCATCCTCCCGTCGTTTGTTGCGTAGCTTTCTTTGCTGTACATTATGTGTACCGTACCGTACCGTATGAAATGAAATCCAATCTGGTCAAATCCAGCTTAT